ATTATAATTTCTAATATAGATTATAATAGAATTTATTATAATGATAATATTTATCTAATAAATAATTTATCATTCTCTAATAACCGCAGAGCTCCTGGGCAGCTCTGGCTGTGCCTCCCGTGTTCTCCTGCCCGGGGGGGGAGCAGGGAGGATTTGGGGCTGATCTCGGCCCTGGGGGTGAAATTTGGCTCCTGCTGGGCTCTAAACAATCCCGGGTGGGTCAGGACCACATCTCTCACCTGGAATAAACACCAGCCCCGGCTCAGGGCCAGCATCACTCCCAGATCCTTTTGGGGATCTGATTTAAGACTCCAAACCTAAATTATGGGGGGGGGGTCGAGTAACCCCCAGCCTCTGGTTTGTGTCTCCGGAGTGAAAATTCAAAAATATCATGGAAAAACATCACCCAAAATATCACCCAAGGGTGGCCGTGGCTCTGCTCCTCACCCCATCCAGCCCGGCCTTGGACACTCCCAGGGATTCCTCCAAGCCTGGGCTGTGCAAACAGCTGCTCTGGCATTTAAAAATTCAATTAAAAAAATTAGGAAGTGTAAATTTTTCCTCTTTAGGTCAACCCAGAGTGAATCGTTCCCATTTTGTCCCAGCAAAACAGGTTTGGTTTTGGTTTATTCCTTAAGTGGAGTCAGTGGAAACATCTTGTTCTCCCCAAAATAAAACATTTCTGGGTTTGCAAATGCATCTTTGGAGGCTCTCGTGGTCCCCTGCTTTTTTTAATTAAAGGCAGGCAGATTTCAGCTGGGAAATGCCACAGCTCAATAAAAGGCAAAGCGTTTAATTTCAAGCATATCTCAAACAAAGCTGCAGCTTTTCATCCCCAAAACACTCCTTTTGGTTTTGCTTCAAGTTGTAAATAATTTCAAAGGGCCCAAAATAACTTTTATTTTCCCCCACAACAAATGTTTCATCTTCATTTCAGCTCGCCAAGCTTCCAGTGATTGGAGCCAGACTCTTCCCAGAGGTGCCCAGTGAGTGGACAAGAGGCCAGGGCATGAGTGGAGACCCAGAAATTCCCTTTAAACAGAGGAGAAATTTTATATTTTGGGGTTTTTTTGGGTGGCCAAATGCTGGAGAAGATTGGGCAGGGCAGTTGTGGAGTCGCCATCCTTGGAGAGAATCAACTCCTGACCTGGAGGAGGGAGCCCATGGGGGTCAACAAGAACATTCCAGAACCCAACGGGGCTCCAGGAGAGCTGGGGAGGGATTTGGGGTGAGGGATGGAGGGACAGGACACAGGGAGTGGCTCCCACTGCCAGAGGGCAGGGCTGGCTGGGATGTTGGGAATTCCTGGCTGGGAGGGTGGGCAGAGGCTGGGATGGAATTCCCAGACTTCGGTTCTGGGTAAATTCACAATTCCTGCTTTTCCCTTGGAGAAATCCCGCGGGATTTTTTTTTTTTTTAATTTTTTTTTTTTTTCTCTGCCTCCATCTCCTGGTGCGCGGGGACCTCTGCAGCCCGAGCCGCGCATCGCCCGCGCCGGGAGCGAGGGAGGGAGACACAGGGAGAGAGGGAGGGATCTGCCGGGAGGGATCCATGGCTGGGAGGGAGCCACGGCAGGGAGGGATCTGCTGGGATGGAGCCACGGCAGGGATGGAGCCACAGGGATGGATCCATGGCTGGGATGGAGCCACAGGCGTGGATCCATGGCTGGGAGGGATCCATGGCTGGGATGGAGCCACGGCAGGGAGGGATCAGCAGGGATGGATCCTCTGGGATGGATCCGTGGCTGGGATGGATCTGCTGGGAGGGATCCTCTGGGATGGATCCACTGGGATGGATCCATGGCTGGGATGGAGCCATGGCAGGGATGGAACCACTGGGATGGATCTGCTGAGAGGGATGGAGCCACAGGGATGGATCCATGGCTGGGATGGAGCCACGACAGGGAGGGATCTGCTGGGATGGATCTGCTGAGAGGGATGGAGGAGCCGCTGGGATGGATCCATGGCTGGGATGGAGCCACAGCAGCGATGGATCCTCTCGGGTGGATCCACAGCTGGGATGGATCCCCCACCGGGATGGATCCCCCGCCCTCCCACGGCTCCGGAGCCGCTCCAAGAGCCGCTGACACCCCAGGTTTTCCCAGGCGGAAAAGGGATTTAGGGGCTCTGGGTCGCCATCAGCACTGCCTGAAAATGAGCAGCAAATCCAGGGAAATAAAAGGAGGATGCTCCCATGACAGGCAGCGTCTCTCCAAAGTGTCACCCCGTCCTTTCCTCCCCTTCAGGGAGGAGAGAAAAACACAGTTTGGGGAAAACACCCTGTCAGTTAACAGAAAAATTATATTATAAATTATATAAGTTTAATATAAAAATAAAAATAAAAATAAAAATAAAAATAAAAATAAAAATAAAAATAAAATAAAAATAAAAAATAAAAATAAAAATAAAAATATATATATAAATTAAATATAATATTTATTCCAGGGCAAAGTGCATGAGGAGGAAGGAGAGTCTGGGAAAAAGGTAAAAAAATCTGCTTGGGAAAACAGCCGGCACCGGGAGGGGTCCAGCCCTGCCCCGGCCATTCCCTCCCCTCCAGACCGGCCGGAGCTGAGCTCAGCACAGAATTCCCAGGATGGCAGCGCTGGAAAAGCTCCTCAGTGTAGCCGGGGACACCTCAGCATCCCTGGGGAAAGTGGAGCCCCAAAAAGAACATTTTCCATGGCCAGAGGAGCTGGGCTAAGGCAGAGCGTGCTCGGTGAATTCCCCCGGGATCGGAGGGAGGCACCTTTCACTCTCTCGGGGAATGATGCTCCCAAATCCCAAATCCCACATCCCAGGCACCTTTCCCTCTCTCGGGGAATGATGCTCCCAAATCCCAAATCCCACATCCCAGGCACCTTTCCCTCTCTCGGGGAATGATGCTCCCAAATCCCAAATCCCACATCCCAGGCACCTTTCCCTCTCTCGGGGAATGATGCTCCCAAATCCCAAATCCCACATCCCAGGCACCTTTCCCTCTCTCGGGGAATGATGCTCCCAAATCCCAAATCCCACATCCCAGGCACCTTTCCCTCTCTCGGGGAATGATGCTCCCAAATCCCAAATCCCACATCCCAGGCACCTTTCCCTGTCTCGGGAGCGATGCCCCCAGACCCCTGCGTGCCCTCCTGCGGGAGCCGCAGCCCCTGCCGGGCAGAGGCTGTGCCCATCCCTGGCAGCTCCATCCCCCCGGCCGGGCACGGATTTGGAGCCTGGCATCCGATTGGAGCCGCGCTGGCACAGGGAGGGCTCCTCTGCCGTCCCTCCCCTCCTGCAGACCCCGCTCTGGCACAAAAGCAGGGAACGAGCTGATTTGGGGAGCGCAGCCATCGCCGAGCGCGGCGGAGGGGGGGCCGAGGGAGCAGCAGAGCCACGGAGGAACAGAAATATCACCCTCAGCCCATCCCTGCTGCCCAGGGAGCAACGGAGGAACAGAAATATCGCCCTCAGCCCATCCCTGCTGCCCGGGGAGCAACGGAGGAACAGAAATATCGCCTTCAGCCCATCCCTGCTGCCCAGGGAGCAACGGGGGAACACAAATATCGCCTTCAGCCCATCCCTGCTGCCCAGGGAATGATGCTCCCAAATCCCAAATCCCACATCCCAGGCACCTTTCCCTGGCTGCCCAGGGAGCAACGGGGGAACACAAATATCGCCTTCAGCCCATCCCTGCTGCCGAGAGAGCAGCACATCCTTGGAGGAACAGAAATATCTCCCTCAGCCCATCCCTGCTGCCCAGGGAGCCGCAGAGCAGCGGCTGCCGCGGGCAAAGCCGACCTAGATGCATCGCCACGCTCCTCCATCCTCATCCTCATCCCCGTCGCCATCCGGGGGCCGCACCTGCTGAGCCGCAGCGCTCGGGAGGAGGAGGAGGAGGAGGAGGAGGAGGAGGAATGCCGAGCCGGCGGGGAGGAAGGCTGGCCTTTGTTCCCCTGTGAGCGGTGAGTGCGGGGCTGGGCTCGGCTCCTTCTCCTCGCCCTCCATGATGCTGCGGGGCCGGCAGGGAGCGGGATTTTCCAGAGCCGGGGGTGGATGGGAGAGGGAAGGCAGGGAGGGAGGCAGGAGGGGCTCCTTGGGACTGTCCGGGAATGGCGATAATCCTGGGAATGGCAGGTCTGGGAATGGCAATCCTGGGAATGGCAATAATCCTGGGAATGGCAATAATCCTGGGAATGAAAATCCTGGGAATGGCAGGCCTGGGAATGGCAATAATCCTGGGATTGGCAATAATCCTGGGAGTGGAAATTCTGGGCATGGCAATAATCCTGGGAATGGCAATAATCCTGGGAATGGAAATCCTGGGAATGGCAGGCCTGGGAATGGCAATAATCCTGGGATTGGCAATAATCCTGGGAATGGAAATCCTGGGGATGCAAATCCTGGGAATGTCAGGCCTGGGAATGCCAATAATCCTGGGAATGCCAATAATCCTGGGAATGCCAATCCCGGCAATGCCAATAATCCTGGGAATGGCAATAATCCTGGGAATGCCAGTCCTGGGAATGTCAATGCCAGTCCCGGGAATGCCAGCAGGGCCCTCCCTGCAGTGCTGGCAGCTGGCCCTGCTGATCCCAGTCCCTGGAATACAGAGGGATGCTGGATTTGCTCGGGCCTCAGGCTCATCCTGAGCACAGGTTCCTCCCTTCAAGGCAAACACTCCCGGATTTGTCTCCTCCAGGAAAAACCCTGGGAAGAGCCATGGGCAGACTCTGCTCTTGGGCATGGACAGAGCAGCCCCAGGAGCCACCCCAGACCCCTCATCCTGAACAAAAAAAATATATTCCTAAATGTTCCCAGAGCTGGGAATGATCCCAGAGTGAGGGCTGAGCTCAGGGGAGCATCCCAGGCCTGCCTGCAGTGGGTGGGTGATGCTGGGCCCAGCACAGGAGCTGGTTCCCCCTGAGGATGTTCCAGAGCAGATCCAGCCTGGCCTTGCTCCCTCGGGGCAGGATCCAGCTGGGAATGGGGATCTGCTCTCCCTGGACTGGGAAAATCCTGACTGGGCTTTGCTGGGAGCTCCAGGAGTTGGGTACAAAGGTTTGAATTTCTCTGTCTGTACAGCAAAAAAATATTAAAAATTATTTGTATATGTGTGGTTCTAAAGGCCCCTGGGGTGCAGTGTGGGTGAAATGCAGGATTTTTGGATCTGAGCTCATTCCCAAGAAAGGCCAGACTGGAACACAGCCCCAGCCTTTGGCTGAGCTGCTCCAGGGGTTTGGATCAGCTGGAGCAAGGCAGGATTGGGGCTCCCCGGGGTGGGAAGGACATCCCTGGGACAGGGACACGCAGCAGGGACAGGAATCTCTGCACAGCCAGGGCTGGTGCCTTCCATCCCACCCAGAAATGTGGATTTGGGAATGCCCCAGGGCACGAAATAACACGCTGCTTTTTTAAGGTAAAAAGGGATTTTTTTAATTTATGACTTTAACATTTATAGATTTCTAAAAGTGACAGTGGATTGGAGGGTGGAAGTGCCACCTCTCCAATGACACAGGACAAACTAACAGCTTATTAAATTATTTTTTTCTTCTATAAAAGAATGCAAGCCGATAAGTTATTGGTATAAAGTGTGTGAGAAAGTTCGTTGTAAGAATGTAAACATCAGAAAGCTTAGAAAAACTTAAAAAATCAGGGTGACACTGCTCTGGCCTCTCAGGCACGTCCCCTTTTCCTCAGCAGAGAGGGATTGGTGAGGAGATTGGCCTTGGAGGAGAAGCAAGAAGGGGAAAACGTGGGTGAGCATCTGGGTCCAAACAGACCCACAGCTCCCACCTCCTCCTTCTGGCCCAAAACGTGTCAAGAATCCAAAATTTCACTGCTTTTTTCCCAAACAAGCCCACTCTCAGCCTGCTTTCCCAAGGAGTGTGGCTGCTGCCAGCTGGGGATGCTCCGTGCCAACCTCTGTGCCTCCCCTTTCCAGCCTGAGCCCTTCCTGGGGGGATCTGCTGCCTCCAGCCCCTCCCCGAGAGCCATGGGCACCACGGAGGCCACGCTGAGGATGGAGAACGTGGATGTCAAGGAAGAATGGCAGGACGAGGACTTCCCCAGGTCTGTTTCCCAAAAAAACCAGAACAAAACCGGGAGGATTTTATTTATTTTTTTCCCGTGAGAGACCATCAGAGTGGGAGGGTCCATCCCAAAGCCTTAGAAGCAACAGGAGCCTGAACTCCAACGGGGGTTCAGAATTTTTGGAGCTGCTCTGAGGGCGTCAAAAATTTGGGGATGCTTTTGGCATGTTTGTTTTTGGCACGTCTGTTTTTGGCACGTTTGTTTTTGGCAGCCCTGTGTGGGCACGGGAAGCAGGGAAAGGAGCTGGGCGTGGAGCACAGGGAGGTTAGGATGGACAGAGGGATGGAGGGTGGATGGATGCACGTGGGAGTGGATTTATGGATTTGTGGACTCCTTCCCAGGCTCTGAATCCAGCAGAGTCCCTAACAGAGCAGTGCTGCTGTGCCAGGAATTTCCCACAGGGATGCAGCGAATCCCAGTGGGTGCCAGCCCTGTGGGGCTGACAGGAGGTGCCAAAGTGGCACCTTCCCCCTTCAGCAGCTGCACAGGGGTGCCAAAACCCATCCCCAGTGCTCTGAATCCCCAGCAAAGAATTCCCACCCCCATCCCCAGTGAATTCCCACCCCCATTCCCAGCTCGTTCCCACTCCCAGCTGCCCAGGCCGGGTGTGGGTTCTCCCTCTCCATCCCAAACCCACCTGGACTCATCCCTGCTCCAGGTGGCCCTTCCTGGGCAGCACTGGGGTGGCTTTGGGGGGATTTCACAGCTCCCTTCCAACGATGCCAGTTCTGGGAGCTGGCTCTGGATCCTGCTGGGCCCAGGTGTTGGAACACGGGTTGGACTCGATGAACTTAAAGGTCTCTTCCAACCTAGAAATTCTGTGATTCTGTGATGATTCTGTGATTCTGTGATTCTGTGATTCTGTGAGCTGCAGGTGCCCGGGGGCTCTCAGGGCTGGCCCAGCCCCCTGCAGCTGCAGCCACAGAGCCCCAGCGTTGCCAGGCACAGAGAAAGGGGCTCCTGTTCCCCCGGGATGAGCCTGGCTCTGTTCGTGCCAGCCCCAGCTGCGTCCCCTCCGTGTGAGCCCCTCTGTGCTGCAGCCCACAGGACGGGGTTTGTCCTTCCTCTGCCTCCCGGGGGGCTCAGCCCTTCCCGGAGGGGTGAAATTCCCTCCGAGGGCACGGCTGCTGGAGCTCTGCCAGCCTGGGTTTTGGTGGGGTTAAAGGAGAGAGGAGTGGGGGAAAGAAAGGGAGGGAGGGAGGGAGG